AGCTATTAGGACCCTCGCTGCGCTCGGGCCCTAAACTACGCCGTGCCAAAAAGTGTTACTTATGGCACTTGTATCGAAAATTACTATTATGACTTAAATTTTGGCAAAAACGAAAAATGAAAAAAAATTTGTGTTTAACTGTTCATGCATAGCAATCTGAGTGTTCGGTCGTCTCAGCCGTAGTAGTGGCCGTGAGCATTGATGTTTTGAAGAAGTGTACGCGACCCTGGTGCAGAAAACTCAATCGGTACCCGCTGAAAGTTACGTGAGGTGACCAAAAACACTACCCACCAGAAAACGCAAAAGAAGAAAAATTTTAACAAGTAAAGTATACGAAAAAAGCTCACGGAAACAGCTGTGTTTCAGTGCAAAATCAAAATTTTAAAATTTTGAAAAATGCAATGGAAAGAGGAGAAAAAATCCTATTCAAAAATTAAATAAAAAAATTTTTGAATTTAAGGTGTATGTAAGTCCTAAACCTGTCTGCTACTCTATTTCAATGACAATACTGCAGTAATAGTAACACCTATGATTTTATCGAGATTTTTAGGATTTACAATTTAAAACACGGCAATGCATGATGTTTGTGTCTATTTTTCCCTTTAAGAATCCTAATAATCTCGATAAAATCATAGGTTTTACTATTACTGCAGTATTGTCGTCTGTAATGTTATAAGCAGACAGGTCAAATCAAACACGCGGGCACGAGTTGAAGCTTACTGCGCATGTCCGCTTAGAACAACTAGTGACCAAAGTTTTGGCTGAAATTTGCTTAATATTATTAGAGCAATACGATCACGATGATTTTCTATATTATTATTCTATATCAAATTTTATATTTATTCTACAGTATATTTTATATTTTCTTATTAGTGGTTTTCAAACCCGTGGTTTGATTGACTTATACAATTATTTTGACTTTGCTTCTTGCAGATTTGCAGATAAAGGTATACCAGCCATCTAGTGGTGAAAATTCAAAGTTGCATTATTTGAAGTAGTCGTAAATTAGCATAAATTAGGCAAATAAATTAAAGTTCATTTTCAGGTGAACTTAGATGCGCTTAATAATTCTAACATAACTAGGACAGAAAAATCGTCAAAAACGAGCTAATAATTATATTTTAAATAGTCATTTTCGAGTCATAAGGCCATTATTAATATTTAGCATTTCTATAACGGAGACTATAAAACTTTATTTCCATTGACAATATTGTATGTTGCATTTTTAAATTTTTTCAAAACTACTTACTCTTCATACATTTTAATTGATATTGCTTTTATTTTTACTGAGAAAAAAAATCTCAAAAATCGCGCTCGTTGTTTTCAGCGCAATAAATTGTACCCACATCGTTCTTTTCGAGATGAGTATGTAATAAGTAGTAATATCGACGCTAACTTTTCATCGTGAAGATTCGCTGTTTGAAAAGCGCGCTGCAACGAGGTAGAAAAAAAGGGAAAAGAAGAAAAATAATCGTGTAACTTCAGTTCGCTCGACGCGTGCGAGGATTTACGATAACAGCCAAGACACGATTCCATAAATTCGCCTTCTTTGCCCTCGCGTATGTGTACGTGTGTGTATGCTATACGTGTAGTAGATCCTCTCTTCTTCGAAAAAGAGGGAAAAAAACTGAATTTTCTCTCTCTCACTCTGCGCGCATAGGCAGAGATACTATATACCCGTGTATACACACATACGCCTATAAACCTCGTTTTCCACTTGGCGCTCTCGGCGATAAATTAATCGCATCGCCGCGATGCGATATCGTTGATTACGGTTCTATATAGAGTTCGCGTGTCATCGCGAGTGAGAGAGAACACAACGACTCTTATAAACCCTCCCGTGGAGCGAGATGGACGCGGAAATTAGGTCATGGAGCAGCGATGCAGCTTGATCGTATCTCCCTATCTATCTGTGTGTCTGTGTTTGTATTATACAAACTGAATAATAGATAACAAACGAGAAGAAGTGTAATAAGCTCGGCACACTGGGCGCGCTTTTATTTATATAAATTATGTACGGTGTCAATTTGGGCAAAAATGGGGAATGTATATATATTTATTTATATAATGACGATCTCTCGCGCTGCATCGCGCTGCGGAGCAGCTTATATGCGAGCAAACATTTACCGTAACAGGAACGTGCGCTGCTGCCATTATAACCTTTGTCCTTACGGACCTGCTGCTACACGATGTGGCTTCTATAATATACTCTCGTACGTGTATGTGTGTGCACCAAGATGAGGATGAGCTTTTGCACGACTCAAGCGCAGCGCGCGCGCGATGCTTTATTTTGAATGGATTGATTGTTGAGGCTATAGTCTCTCTCTCTTTCTTTCGAGCATACATAAAATAAAACTTTTTGCTGCTGCTGCTGTTGTGGAGCTGCTCCATGAAGTTGTTACAATAGGACATGAGTGTGGCTACACAGTGTCCCATAGTATACAGTGCTCGCCTCCTCGTCTCTTCCTCGTCTCTCTCTCTCTCTCTCTCGTAATTAGCTCGGCATGATCGCGTCGTTTCGCGTTTGTCCGCCGCGTGTGTTTATTATAACTCGCGCGACCGAGCCACGTCTAACGGGCACTACGGGGCCCTCTCGCGCTCTCTCTCACTGTCCGAGTCTGTAAGTGTGTGTATGTATACATAGCCATTTTTCAATATCCCCAAGCATCCTTAATGGAATATTAATTATTTTTTATTCTCATAGGCTCTTTCTCTCTGTTGCTAATACCAATTGTACTGTTAGTCATTTTACCGTTCGCACGAGTATTCGTTACGTATATCATACCGCATACGTACTCGTGTGCGTTATTTCGTATCAACCTTGACCCAAACTCGAAACGAATTCAAAAGCAATGCCAGGACGAACGAAAAGTCTCGCATTATTTTATCCGATTTGCGTGCACGCTACGTGTACAGGGGCGCTGAAAAACGCGTGACAGCAGTCGGTCTTTGGCGCGTACACCTACGATCGCGTGCACTTAGCCCGTGAGCGAGTTTAGAGACCAGCTGCGAGCTTTGCCGTGTGCCCGGCGCAAGACGTTTATTTTGTGAATTTTGCGGTTTATGCCTGCGTACCTATATACGCCACCGTACACGCCACATGCACGTATACGCAAATGTACCGTGTACATTTATACGCGTTACAGTGGCATACGGTTGAGTCGCGCGAGGAATTCAAGCCGCAGTGGAAAAAGATGAACGGCTAGTTCTATATCCTTTTAGCCTCTTTCGCTCTTTCTTTCTCTCTCTCTCTCTCTCTCTCTCTCTCTCTCTTTCTGCGGAGCTGTTTATCTTTTTCTTTCCATACCGTTCACAGCACAGACGACGCAGCCATGTGACTATCGATAGCTGAAATCGTGCCGAAAAAGGGACAAAACGTCGCCGTACACACAAACACACACACATGTGCGCAGCACGCGATGCCCATACAGTAAAGGAGAAACCTATAAATGTTTTTATGCGCGCGAGCGTATCGAGATTTCGACATGCCAAAGACTCTAAAGGCTATTTAACTGTACCCTCGTATTTTTTTATACTTCTTTTGGGAGCTTTTTGCGCGCGCGACGTGCGAGCTTTATATACGTGTATTGCCCTTGGAACGGCGCGCGTATCCCAGTGGGTGAGAAATAAAGAAACCTTTACGGTTTTTAGTACGTACCAAAGTAACAGCCACAAGCTCACGAGTCACCGCGATAAAATGTTCCTTTTGGTGCAACAATGTACACATTGTATATATCTATCTATCTATCTGCGTGAAAGACTCAATGGCGTAAAAGGGTTCGGAACGTCACTTTCGTCTAATTGGCTTGATCCCTCCGCCCGTACCGAAGCGCACTCAGAGAGAATAACGTATAAGTATATATAAAGGTGGCTTTGAAGACTAAGCTCCAGCATGAAAAACGTCTAATTGGACATGCTACTGCCGGACGAGAACGGATTAAACCCAACGTCTCCCTCTGCACGACGGGGATGGTGGTGGACTTACCTATGTGCCGCCACTGCTGATGCGAAGCTTACGTCAAAGCGCTGCTGGACTGTCCGTGCTCGGATTGATTCGTCTGCTCGCTGAATGTCTGCAACAGAATAATACTTTTAATTGACTGGTCAAACAGCATTGAATCTTTTAGGATCTAAAAACTGAAAAAATTTAGCTAGTTGTTCATGATGAGCGAAGAGATTTCCAGTGCAGGGTGAAATTTGACGATTAGAATTGTACATTATTCGTGAATGCTCAGAAATGTTGTTGGCAGCAAGAATTTCACAAGAAATGTTTACGTTTACTGTTCAATACATAGTAGAATCGCGTGAGATTTTTATATTTAATAAACTCAAAACGGTCATGTTATAATATTGGATGCTCCAAACTTTATTTTACCGAAAAAAATCAGATGATTCTCGATTAAGATTTTAAAAGTATAACATTTCTATTGGAAAATCTTTGTATTTTTACAAAGTTTTTATTAATGAATTTTATTTTCCCGAACGGCCACATTGACAATTGTCTTGATTTGCTCAACAAAGGTTGGGTTTAGATCGTAGAATTCAATAAGATTTTATTTTATAATGTGCTTGAATCATTAAAAAAGTGTCATGCAATATAATACATCGTATTTTCAGTTTATGAAAGTTAAATTTTTTCATTGCGTGCATTGCATTACATTTCGTAAAATATATTCCGCTGAGATCCAAAAAAAAACGAATTTATTTTAAAGGCCTAAAAATAGAAAAAAATTAGAGGAATTGCTATGAGTAAGCATACATATAAATGTTATTCAGAAGACAAACTTTTTATGATAGATCTAAATGTCTAAAGGTTACTTCATTTTCCAATGAATTTTTTGATATTAATTATGGGAGAAATAGTATAAAAACAATACTTGAATCACACATTTTATTTTAAATTAAACAATAGAATAGTCAATAACAATTTGATCACATGCGAATGCTCATATACACAAGAGTGATTGATATTTATTATTCCTATTGCTATGGCTTGGAAGGATCGTCAGGCTTTGATCTCATGTTTTGAAATATTTTGAAAATCTTCCGGTTCAAAGCACTTTGATTGGAATTTTACATGTTTGCCTTCGACGAATGGGAATGGTACTATCTTGCGATAATACCTCATGCAAGCGGCGCTCACGCAATAATTGCCCTGATCGTCTTCGAAAATTTTATAGAAAGCAGGATCCTGGTGCTCGAACAGGCACTTCAGATCAGTATCCACCAACTGCTCGACTTTTCCATCCAGGCCGATTTTAACCAAATACCTGGAAAAGATCTCGCCTGTATTCTCAGAAACGTGAGTTAGAAATCCTTCTCCCCTCGGCAAATTGTAGATGGCTCTTTCAAAACCCAACTCCTTCACTGCATTACTAGCCGAAAACCAGTTAATCTCCTTGTCACCGAGCTTGAATTGTGTGCATATCATGGTTGTTTTCTTCTCTACGAAGCATATGCCGATCAATCCATTTGCCAAAGAGATCATAGGTTGATGCACATCTTCGACATAAGTTAAATTTTTTCTTTGACCTAGAAACGCGAAAAATATCTCATTAGTTTTAATGAAAGTCTCGAAAATCAATACATGTTCTTTTTTAATTACCGTTGGGCTGAATGTGAGCTACTGTCATCGACGGTTTATTAATTGATGTTTCGATAAGCAAATAGCCATTGTCCTTCGACAATGGAAAGATAACCGTTGGGTGGCCAAAGTAAGCAGGGTATGTAAGCCACGTTTCGCTTTCTGAAATGACACCTTCAGTATTTATCGATGATCTATTAACAACCTTTTTATCGATAAATGACAAAACTTGGAAATTATCATCTTCTTTGAGATATCTCGGCTTTTTTAAAAAATCGTTAAAAAAGCCACCTGGTGATTTGCTAGGAAAGTCAGTAAGTAATGTCACATCGATACGCCACATAATTTTGGTCGTTGTCACTTTACAATTGGAAAAATCGACGATACTAAATCGAAAGTGAAGACCATACAAGGCTTGGGCATCTTCGAACCAACGCATAATCGCTCGATCCTTGTCCAGAGCATAGATATCAATATCATTCATGTAAATATTGCCGCCAGACTCGGATTGCAGCGTGATCTTGCACTCATCGTCTTTTGGACTTTCTCCCGAGAAATCCGCTTGTACTCGATGTAGAATACATTCTTCCTGCTTCACTACGTCTGTGTAGGGTCTGCTACAGTCGCCGTAAAATAAGGTCGTATTTTGAAAACCACTCTCACTGAGCACCGGATTTCTATTGTCGGCGATGTCGCCTTTGAATGAAAAACTACGATAGGCACTCGCAGGTGAAACTGAGCCGAGTAAGATTATGCCGTTTAGAGTCGCGAAGATCGCGAAATATGTCGCGAATGTCGACATGGTTGTTGATATTATATGCGCTGCTCTTAGCTCGTTGCTTGCCGAAACGATACTGAGCTCCTACTTTTTTTCGCCTTGATTTTATGCTTGAACCAACGTAAAAAAACCTCAACGCAAGTTTAAATATAGTAGTGATTCACGAACGAAGCCATCAGCATACATGATAGTCAACGTTTTTCAAAAATCTTGAACTATTAATTATGAATATGTGAATAGGGAGAAGTGGCGTCGCCGCCTGCTGCCGAGGCTAAATCTTTCTATCAACGACTCCGATAATCATTCTCCTTGAAATCTTGAATAATTAAGAATAATACGTTTTTTAGATACACGCAAATATCATACTCATTCGAGAATTAAGCGGTATTCAAAATCAACTGAGCCAATAAAATTTGTAGCTGAACATCATTTTTATCGAGCAGCAAAAATGGGGATGTCAAAACTCACGGCGTAATAATTTTTTCATTCCATTTTCTTGCTACACTGTGGGTTTAGCAACCAAGTACCCGTGGATGCTGCGTTTACGGATCTATAACTAAGATAGTCACAGAGCCGTGGTTGACTTAGACCAGAATCCTGTACATATCATCTGCCCGTGTTGGCGAGCACACACGTGTGCTTGAACACAAAAATTCACAGTAGTATACCAAATAGAAGTTAGTTACCGCTGCATGACATAAGAAGCGATAACAGCAGCAGCCACAGTTTGAACTGTTCGAATCGCACTCGATTACTCGATTGCGTCCGTCTGACATGACTGCTGTTGATTGAACTTGTATGGCTATTGCTTGCCGTTCACAGTGAAAAACTGAGACCCGAGGTTTGTTGGCTTGTTCCACTCGTCCTCGTTTTGCTTAATTCTTTCAATGTCAATAGTGTTAAAATATACACGAATGGTCGCCAACACGGGGAGACGTTATACAAAGGGATCTAAATCTACATCAATGTTCAATCATTGGTTTGTGGTCATGGTAGACATACCTTTTTGGTAAACCCACAATATTTCTATCAACACACTCAGATGATGTAGTCATTTGCATATGCTCAATTAGACCATATATTCGAATTTTTTTATCATTGATTATGATAAATGGCCGCTATTGAGACAAACTTTTTGTACTAAAACATTCAAATGTTTATATATGAAAAACATGAGCTTTACAAGCTTACTAGCTATACTTTCAGCTCGCTTAGCGTACCTTTTTCTGTCTTTTCCAGTTTATCATTTTTGTTTGTTTAAAATCAATTAAAAAAAGATTATAATATTAATTATACAAGTACGCAGCAGTCCGGCTTTTTTCTAGAAACTTCTTATTGACAATTAAAATTAGTCTCAAGCTTTCAAAAGACTAAGGAAAATATGTCGCATACTCACCACCCCACTCACAATCACATGCCACTATATATCCTACGCCACGTTGCTGGATGTCCAATCACATCGTTTACAAACTGCTCACGCTCAAAACCTCACCAATTTCATTAATGCGGAATAGATAAGAGATTATTTTTGAAAGTGCTGGTCATATTTGAAAGTCAGGTGCACGAATATTGTTACTTTGTTTGCATGAATGAATTTTTTCGGTATTTATTTTGGAAGATGATCAAGCACATATAGTAAAAAGTAGGAAAAAGTATAAAAACAAATACATGAATTACATATTTTTTAAATTAAAAATTCGAGTAGACAATAACAACTACGAGTGCTGTTATGCACAAGAGTGATTAATATTTATTATTCGAGAATTAGCTTAGATATTAAGTCAGCTTTGACATCATGTATTACATCGTACTTTGAAATATTTTTAAAAGCTTCCATTTGGAAACACTTCGATTGTAATTTTATGTAACTCGTTAATTCTTCGCTAAGACCATCAGACATCCTCGCGCAGGTGGAACTCAGGCAATAATTGCCCCGATCGTCTTCGTAAAGGTTTCTTAGACCGTATTCCCTGTGCTGACAATACTTCATATCAGGATCCAAGAACTGCTTGGCCTGTCCATCTGGACCGATTTTTACCAAATAATTGACGGGTGCTATTATGTCTTCCAAATTGATGTTGCAGTAAATCAGAAACCCTTCACCTCTCGGCAAATTGTACACGTTCATTTCCTTCCCATAATTGATGATACTAGCTGAAAACCAGTTGATCTCTTTGTCACCAAGCTTGAACTGCGTACATTTCATCGTTGTCTGGCTCAATTTAGCGCATATGCCGATCAATCCGTTGGCCAATGAGATCATAGGTCTTTCTAGAGGCGGAAAGTAAGAGAACGCATATTCGATATGAGTTACATTTTTTCTTTGACCTGGAAGCGTTAAAAATGCCTCGTTAGAATTAATATCAATCACAGTTATCAAAACGTTTTTTTATACATTACCGTTTGACTGAATAAGCGCTACCGTTAACAACATTTTTAAGGGATTGTTTTTCAATTGCATCGGTTCGACTAACAAATATCCCTTGTCCTTTGACAACGGAACAATAAGTGGTTGGACTGTGCTATTCTCGGGGTAAGTTATAGGCCACTTATCGACTTTCGAAGCAACTCCTTCAGCATCTATCGATGATCTATAAATACCCATCTCTTCTAGTGACACAAATTCGAAATCATCTTCTCCTTTAAGATATTTCTGATTGCTGAAATCCTTCTAAAAAGCTTACCCATTGATTCAGAGAGATCAACACTCTCCATCTTAATTTTTTTATGATCAGCTCATTAAGATCTTTCGAAATTTTGGTCGTTTTAACTTTACAATTAGAAAAATCGACGATGCTGAATCGCAAGTTCAGCGGCGCTTTCGAGAACCTGTCGACCTCGATCCAACGCACGATCGCTCGATCCTTGCCCAGAGGATCGATTTTAATGAGACCCGTCTCAATGAAGCCACCGGACTCGGAGCGCAGCGTGATGTTACACTCGTCCTCCTTCGGGCTGTCTCCCGAGAAATTTGCCTGCACCCGACGCAAAAAACATTCCTTTTGCGTCTGCTCGATGGCCCTACCACACACACTAATAGAGGCTGGTGTTTTCTATGGCACTCTCACTGTACACTAGGAAATTGTCACCGATGTCGCGTTCGAGCTCTAAACTCTGATAGGCAGTCGCAGGTGAACCTGAGCCGAGTAAGATTATGCCGTTTAGAATCACGACGATCGCGCAAAACGTCCCGAATGTCGACATCGTTGTTTTAATATATTACGTGCTCTTAATTCGATAGCCAAATCGACACTGAGCTGCGATTTTTTTTTGGCTTTGGCTTTATGTTCGTAGCGTAACAAAGATTTAACGTATGTTTAATTATAGAAGTGACTCTTGAAAGGAAAAATTAGCATATTTGATAGGTGATATATTTGGGTGAACTAATATTTGTTTCAATCAGCGATAATCTATAGCAAGAACAAAAAACCTGTTCTGTCAATTATGACGATGTGAATAGGAAGTAGATTTTCTGCCTACAGCCGTTGCAAAATCAAGTACCCAGATGATCTTTCTCCTTGAGATCTTGAATAAAAACCCATGTAAAAATTTTTTTTCGATTAATGGATCTTTATTTTCGTTGCCTGACCTAAGGGCTTATATGAATAATTTTTCCGTATAGTTTTAAAACCTGATGTACGTGACGTCCACCAAGGTTTATCCAAGTTATGTATCAAATTTTTTTTAGAGTTCTTATTTTAAAAGAATGAACGAATTACTCACGCGCACCTTAAATAGTATATTTTGCACCTAGGGAGTGAAAAACTGGAAAGTCTCAGAGCACGTGCAATTTATCATCCGAGGCGAAGCCGAGGTTGATAATCACGTACTCTGAGACTTTCTTTTTTCGCTACATAGGTGCAAATGCAATTTTTTGTGAATCCCCCAGCCTAAAGTAACATTTTGGTTTTGCTCAGCGGGAGTAAAATGTTACTTTAGATTGGGATAGCACAAAAATTAAATTTTATTTAAGTGGGTTTGCAAACATTTTTTGCAAACATTTTTTCTGCCAAAAACCACACTGACAGACTTAAAATTGATTTAAATACAGCATTGCTTATCCGGGCAAGTTAACATTCTAAAATAAAATCATATCTATTGTTGTCGCAGAGTTAGAAATTAGTGTAGTACCTATTTGTTTATTGGAGTCTTGACTATGGATACTAACTTTTTATGTTCCAATCCTTTTCCCTGAGATAAAGTTCATTCCCATTCATGTCCGGAAAAATCCTCGCGATCTGGACTTCTCTTCAAATATTATGACAGATGAATGAATTTAAGCAAAAATCCAACTTTCCAGTTACCATCATTTACTCCACCACTCTTTATAATTATTCTGGGCTTATAGGAAGCATTTTATGAAAAAAAAGTTATGCTTGAAAAAGTTTTATTATGAATCAGAGAACGCTTGAATTTTCCAAATTTTTCAGATACCTTCAAATTTTGGAGAAAATCAGTAGATCAGAATGACTAGAGAAACTTTAAAACGAATTTTTTAAATTCTAATTTGGTGACACAATCAACAATCTAAAGAGAGTGATGAAGGGGAGGGGGAAGCTAAAAAATAGAAATAAATAAGGGATACTCTAATATGTAATATGTGTTATTTATACACGAGCTCTCTGCACCTAGTCGTAGCAAAAGAGAATCAGGCGAGCGTTAAAATCGCTTATTAGTGTTAGAGCCTTATATCTAAAAACGTGAAGACCACAAGAGCAAGGAAGATAGAGAAAGAAAGAGAGAGAAGCGATGTTCGTCAAGGCTCGTTAAGGGCCAAGCACGTCGTGACGACGCGCGGACGAGTTCTCGTCTCGTCTTCTTGTAGCAGAGAAAGAGAGACGGAGACAGAGCTCTTAGACAACTACACACTTACTTACACTGACACATACATATACAGACAAACACGTATACAAAAAGTATCAAAGAGCAAGAACACGAGAAAAAAGCAACGAGCTGTGTATGCGCGACTGACCTCGTGCGTCGAGTCTATACGATTTTCTCTCTTTCTCTTTCGCGATCGATCG